AGGAACAACCATGTATACAGGAACAACCATGTATACAGGAACAACCATGTATACAGGAACAACCATGTATATAGGAACAACCATGTATACAGGAACAACCATGTTTACAGGAACAACCATGTATACAGGAACAACCATGTATATAGGAACAACCATGTATATAGGAACAACCATGTATACAGGAACAACCATGTACACAGGAACAACCATGTATACAGGAACAACCATGTATACAGGAACAACCATGTATACAGGAACGGACAGGTTTTCTATGGTTACCACCAGTTCCATCAGGCAACAAACATCAACCAGAAAGCATTTATGAATTTCCATCATAATCTGACTTTGATTAAAGAAAAATCCCCAACTTATCAAACATTTTTCCCTTTGTGTTAAATCAGTTCACTCACTTTAGAACAAAACAATCTTTAGTGTGTGTACCTCCTCTATATATACCTCTGGGGCTATTTGTCATCAAATTATAGCAATTATTTCAGTCTTAGAATTAGATCCTATAGACCAAATGCAATAGGCTTGAGATTAAGATTTTTCATGAACCTTTTGAAAATTTCTCAGATCAAACCTTGACAAAGATTTTTTTTTAAATATTTAGTGCTGGATCATAATAGACATATGAAATAAAGAAACAAATGTGTGGTGATAATCATGGATTCAAACACAAGCAAATGTTTACCTGGTATGTACTGAGCAAGATATATCTGATACTAACATGACCACTGACCAATTTTTGAGAACACGGGTAGTTCAAGATATATCTTTGTGTGTTTATAATGTAGAATGAAACATTTAAAACATTTCAACTGGCACTTGTCATTTACCTATGGGCACTGAAAGGCTCGAACCCCCCGCTGTAGTCAATACGCAGTCTTATCAGTGGCTTGTCTGGCTGCTTGCTGTTTCCAGAATGCTCAGATTCTGAAAATAAGAATGGTTTGAACACCATAAGTAAGAAAATAAATATATTACAATCATTACAAGATTACAATCAAATCTCACAGAAATGTGATTGAATAGTCTTTTAAACTTGTAAGCGATGTTGACAAACAACAAATTTACAAAAAAAAATATAGAAAGTCCTCATTTACAAGGTTTATTTAACTACGGTATACGGAAGTAAACAACACTGCTGAAATATTGGAAATAATTCCAATAATATAGAAGAAATTAAAACTTAGAAATAGTAAATATTCCAATAAGCACCATGACATTTACTAACCAAGGCCAACAACACTAAATTCATGTATTGTAAGGAATATTTGTTACCTAGCCTAGGTACTGCTCAATCTAAACTATAATATTAACTACTGCTTTGTTAGCACACATTTCAGTTAACAAGGGACAAGTATGTAAACTTAAAACTATTCTGCTTATAAAAAGGGGTGGTAAGTGATGGCAACAGTTTACATATAACATACAGTCAACAGGGGTGTACAATTCTGCTAGCACTTTTAACTCATTCACCCCTGAAATTTTGTAATGAACTATTCCAATCTTTAAATTTGAAGAGTTCAAATGGGTCTTCAGGGGTGAATGAGTTAATCTCTAGCTATGCTTACAGTCTAATATTTACTGATCACTTATTCATAGTCATACAATACTTGTAAAGAAACTTCCAGTCCAATAATGACATACAATAAATAAGGGATGTTTAATTTCAGGTTACTTGAAAACTTTAATTAAATATTGATAACATTGCAGCTGCAGCAGTCTAAATATACCTACCTGCTTTCTCCAATAAACCTTCCACCTTTTCAGCACAGAAAGCTTCCACCTTCTTGGCTATGTTGTGGTCTTGAGGATCCAGACTAGTATCACTAAGCACAACATCCTCCATGTAAAACGGACGAACTGTCTCCAGTGGAATTTTTGTCATCTTGAAATTTTTACCTTTTATCTGCAGTAATCCAATGTGTTTCTTGACAGTCTCCCCCTCACTTAGTGATGTAGCAACACTGCTACCTGGCTGACTGACATAAAAGTTCTGAACACTGTTCCATTCTGGTTCAATTCTACATTCATGTTCATGACCCCAAATCACAAGGTCTAGAAAATCGTCAAGAAATTGTTCAGGAATGTAGTTTGTTGTGGTATGTTTGGATCGATTTTGGTGTATCACAAACATATTGAACCATTCTTCTTGATTTTCTCTAGGTCTCAACATTGAAACCGTCTTTTTTAAAAACATTCTGTGCAACCTTTCATCTCTGATAGAACCTAGTCCATACATGGCTAGTTTGGTGGAACCTTTCTGCAACAGCAAAGGACTCATTTCTATCTTCTCTAGAGATGTGTGTTTTCCAAAGTAATTGACAAACCCTGAGGTATGCAGAATGTCCAGTGTGCAAAGGTTTCCTTGGCCTGTTGGGTCATCATGGTTACCATGTATTGAAAATACAGGGATAGAAACGTTTAAATTTGGGTCTTCATAATTCAAATATGGAAACTGACAATGGTTGAAATCTTTTGATTGATCACTAAGGTATTCAAACTGAACAGGTTTATCACCCATACAGTACTTACGAAACAGAGAAATGCATCCATGCATTATTCTGCGGGGTGGTTTGTTCTCATGAAACAGATCTCCTCCAAGAAGGATAAAATCAACATCATGCTTTTTGGCATTTTCTAGAATTTCTTCAAAAGATACTAATGAATCATTTCCTCTAATTCCATCTTTTTCTGCATAGCCAAGGTGAATATCAGTGGCAACTAGTATCTTTAAGGTGTCATCTTCTGAATCCTGTGTTGGAGGCATGATTCTGAAATAGACAAGACAACCTGGGTTGTAGTAGTTATTTTCCTTTGATGAGATGTGAAGTACAAATAATCATATAAACCTTACCTGTCATGTCAGCAACAACAACAAAAAAGACAACACAAACTAACAAGTATTCATATAAATTATTTCAGTACTGAGAAAAAGTCATTTTCTCTATATAAATTTAGTAGGCCCCACCTACAGGGTCAAATGTTCAAACACAAGGGCATAAAATTCACATATATATCTTTACCTATTAGGGCTAAATAGTCATGCTTAAAATTTCTTTCCCTCTGCTTCAGTTTCCATAAAAAGGATACCTAAAATTATCACTTCCATGTAAACTATACTAATTAACCACTTCCCTGAGGGGAGGGAGTACTAGATTATCTGGGGGTAATAAAATCAACATACTTTTCATAAAGTATCTATCCCCAGACATTTTCATTGATGAACATAATTATTACAAAGTAATATTATTTTTCTAGGTTTAGCAGAGGACCCCCACCCCCCCCCAAAAAAACACCCTTTTCCCATGCACTTCTTCCCCCACCAACAAGAGGGGTATGGTAAGGAATGTCAGTCTATATTTTCATACCATTAAACAACAATTCAATAATTATATTTCAAACCATGTTTGAACTATATCCTACTGAAATTAACAAAAATACATGAACCTGAAAATTGGCAAGTTGTCAACCATTGATACAAGTACGGGGTGAATTATTTGGCATGGAGATACCTGAACCTAGGTTTTGAATAGTTGCATCTTAGAAAGACTTAGAAAGACTAAGATAAAGGAGGGGGGTCAGAATGTAGTGAAACTGGAATGGATTGAGTGTCGGCAACCTTGAAGTAGCTTGATTGATAAAGCATCCGTCTACGTAAGAGTATGGAAGGTCACAGGTTCAAATCCCGTCTGGCCGTGCATTTTCTACATCTATTAGAAAGTATTATTTACCTATATAAACTTAAGTAAACTTTACCCCTCCCCGGGGCGGGGGAAAAGATTATGAAAATTAAATAATATCACATCCTACATCCGATTGGGACAATTGGATCCTACTGTACCCATCCACAGGTGTTGAAGAAACCAATGTGATGTGTATATACTATATTATATACATGTCTCCAACACCTGTATATCCATTAGGGGTGTTCTAACGCAATTCTACTTTCACTTCAGAAATATTTCACATGATCCACTTTATAAGAATGTGTTGTCTTTATAAACGGTGAACTAATTTAATGTGGTGAACCAAATAAGAGCTTTTAATTTATCTTCATAACTAAGGAAATGTCAAATAAATATTTACTATCGCTTACCTAAGCGTAAATATTGTCTTGATCAATTCGGTAACGTTTGCTCATGGCGGGAGATTATTTTTGTTGAAGTTATTTCCCTTGGACAACTTCCGTTTTCCGTTTAGCGCCATCTAGTAGCAATTTCCATAGCAATTGTTTCAACAAAGTCCCATCCGGCAGGATATTGTTTACCCGATTTTATCTAAACATAGTGTTTCCGAACACATCTCGGTTCAATGACAGAGAGGGTAATCCCAGGAAAAAGCGTTATATGACACTTGCATGATGTAAATGTTTTAGATTTGAATAATTAGATGAATTGGATAGAGTTTAAACAGATCCAATCAAGAACATTGGTGTAACCAGGTTTGCATTATTGCTCGTTCGTAAAAGAGAAAACCACTATGGCAGATAAAGGCGGAAAAAATGATATGGACAGGATTGGAGTGTTCCAGGAAATGGGATATGTCACAATAGGTGACAGATATAAGCCCCCTGGAAGTAAGTAAAAACTCGAATTTATTCTTTTATGCATATAGACCTATCTCACCTACTTTTTAATTATGTGATTTTGCGATACAGATGTCACTGATTGTCAGGATTTCTTTCATTTTAATATTTAGGTTTTAACCAACTGAATTATTGATGTCAGAATTCGAGAAATGTTTAACAAAAACAATGTTTTGAGGTTGGGTACTGCATTAATAAACATTGCTTATCAGGAATCATCAGTCAAATTACCTGAATGGAATTCCATCATTTCAGTCCAGTTCAATGCTGCTGCAAGTAAAGGAAAACAGATACTTCCTGGGGGAAGCAAGACCAGGTCAGCCCTACAGAGCGGTTACTTTTTGGAGAAATATGGGAGAGTAATGGAGGGAGAGGCATACAGTGATCCAATCAAAATGAGACGACAACACAGATTAAAAGAATCCCAAAGAAATATTGGAAAGGCATTTTTACCTAGCAGTGGTGAAAAGAAACCGTAAGTCAGTTATTTTGTTTTCGCAGTTTCAAATGTGCAGCATAAGTTTCAGAGCTTGATTTTGTGTTGTTTTACAGTCCATTGACAATTGAAGTCATTTTGGACTGAATATATACAAGCTGGTTCCACTGTACATATTAAGCAAGTGAAAAAATGCAAAACAAAAGTCATAGGAAGTTAAATGAACTGACTACTTTTAAGCATTTATACATTAAATATCAATTTTGCAAATTCAAATTTATTGCATTCATTTGAAGAATTTACAGCTCAGTTATTGTGAGCTGTATGTACATCTAATGGTTTTTTTACAGGTCTGGACTAGGAAGTCATTATGGTACACTTGCTGGCCCTATCTCTGCCTTTAGTCCGAATGCAAGGCCAGGAAAAGGCTATAAGTCGCCCGGAAAGAACTTTCTTACAAATCCAGGAAAGAAAGGAACGGGCTTTGGGTAAATCAACGTTTATAGTTTACATTAATGTAAAAGTTCTCCAGAAGGTTCATAAAGAAAGAAAAAAGAAAATGAAGACATCATTATGAATTATAAATAGAAACCAAATTTATTGATAAAACTTCATAAGAATGATTATCATTGACTACTGCAAATTTTATATATCTTTAGTAAATTTGCTATGATATTCCATTGATATGATTTGATTGTGGATGTAAAAAACATATAATATGATCATTTGATGAAGTTGTTGCAAAGCTGACAGTAGGATGGTATTTTCAGATATGTAGCTGTAACACTTGGAAAATACCCCAATTATTTAGGGGATTCATATGATGTACATAAAGACATAGCAAAGGTTTGTCCGCCCACTGTGATGTGTCTGTCAATGATTAATGGCACAGGGTGACGCTACGCATTAATAATTTAATACTGATGTCTGCACACTGTCATCACTCATAGCTGTGACTGTTTTCATACCTCGATTCACAACTTCTCGTGTCACTCATGGTTTATGGTACATTTGTGTAATAAGTCTGTGTTATTGTAAATTATAGAGGATTATGTGTAGCTTCATGAGAGATGTTCTACTTTGTTAGTCAGGTGTTTGGTAGCTGTTGTTTGTGATTGTCAATCAGGTGTTATTAAACATTGTTTATTAACACCCATGATTTGAATAAAGTTTTTTCAACAGATAGTGATCATGCTAATCACGTTTCCTCATTCATACCCATCACTTCTGAGGAATTTGCATGTCCTGTAGACTTTGTATAATTATTGCATCTTGTTTTGCGGGTTTTCTTGCTATTTGAGTCTTGAAGAAAACATAATTATTGCAAGCGGTTTAATTATTTCTGTGACAATTGAAATTTGGTTGTAAACTAATGGAATGCTGTATGTTTTGTAGTCATGTTGTTTACTTGTTCAAGTTGTTTGTTTTGCTTTATGACTATATTTCAACATTCTAATTGTTATAATATTTTAGGAATCAATTTTATTTACAAGATTTATTTACTTTTTCAGTTTCATTGATTTACATGTTTCTTTTTTTTTATGTGCAATTATATCATGATCTGTTTCTATTCATTCTAATTCATGTCTCAATCATACATGTTTACTTTTTTATTTCTGTCTGCAATCATCTTAATATTTATTTTATTTTATCCCTCAGATTTGATTTTGTTTTGAGCTGTTTTCCTATATAAATCATGTGTAATCTTCGTCTTTACTCCACATACCCTTGTATATATTGGCACCTCATTTTTCCAGATACATTGTGTCTGATCTAAAATCATTGTAATTAAGTTAAGTTAACATGCTATCAACATGGTATCTGTGTATTGCTGTGTGACTAACTTGTAACATTTCTGTGTGGCATTGTGTGTTTTTCTAGCTTTGTTGAGATCACACTGGGAAGCTATCCAAAATACCAAGCAGATGCATATGAACGGGCAAGAGAATTAACAAAGGTTTGAGTTATTTGAATGGTAAAACAAACGTTGTCTGGATTTAATCTGGAAAATGTTGATCATAACTGGTATATTGTGCATATATATTATTCTGTAATATCATGTACTATATTGTATGATAAAGTTTTTCACAATCAAGATTAGATGTCATGACTTATCATTGACATTATTTGGTCATATGATCATTAATAAAAAAGTACAAAATTGGGAGTGGGGTGGTATTTATTATTGATAAGAGAATCTACACAAAATAACAAGATGTTCACCAGTATATCCACTGCACTGTCACATTTCTGTAAATCTTCAGTGCATTCTATATGTGTCATACATACATTTGTAATCAAAGTAATGTATTAATTGTAAATATAATGACCTATTAGATGAATTTAAAACTTTTCTATATTGTAATGCATGTTATTCAAACATTATTTCAATTCTAAACACATTTTCTGAGAGAACTAATAGATTGATAAACATATCTTGTGAAATCAAAAAATAAAAGAGAAAAAAGAACGTACAACTTACACAGTGGAAACTGAAGTGATAATTCCTATACTATTTGTGCATTTTAAAAAAGTGGCTTCAGAGAAAACATTGACCATTTGGTATGTAACAGATGTTAAAGGAGCGACGTTATTGTCGACATTTTAAGCCTGTATCAGTTTTGTAACTCAAACTGATGTAAACCATCAGTATAGATTTTGTACCAGTTATGAACATAAAACCACAAAATTTACGAGTTTATTTTGCTTTCCACTGTAAAAACCACTTCTGAAATATTTCAGATCACTTTTGACATTACAGTATTTTATTTGAATTTGTGCAAGAATAATAATAACAACTGTGTTCTTTCTTTAAATAATTTGAACGAAATTTTCATGGGAAGTTTGAATAGCAGTTATCTCTCCACATTTTAGTTTGAAAATGTTATCCAAAATGTAAGTGACCTGCAGTAAAGTTGGGTAAATCGATTCAATATATGTAAGTGGAGGTGATAATGTTTTTAGTTAATAGATGATGCCAAAAACAATACATATGTATAGCTATGTTAATTCAGCATTCTAAAAACTGTACAGGTACCTAGTGGTTTTGCAGGATTATTAAATTACTTTACATTTTTTTGGTTATCAATTTATACTTTTTATGTTTCCACATTTCCCATTACAGAAAGAGTTGGCCAATCATAAAAATGCAGTAAAAGGTGCTGCATTTAAACTGAACATGCATCCCAAGCCGTACTTCGATCAGAATCCTTATGCATCAGATAAGTTATTGGGACGACGAAGTGTGTCTGCAGGTGTCTCTAAGAAAGAGGATGTTAAGCCATTCAAGCCGAGCTCTCCTGGCAAGAAGGTAAGGTTCTAAACTAGAACCAATCCCTTTAAAAATAAGCTATTGTTCATTCTGAGCTTGAACATTTTCAAATTAATAAAAGTATACAAACAAGAGGCCCATGGGCCTTAACGGTCACCCAAGTTCTGATATATTTATACAGAGAGTTGATTTTTGTTTTTAAAACATGAACAGAAGTATTTTCAAAATGACAAAAAACAATAAAACCACCTTATTCAATATCAAGCATACAGATTTCAGACTAAAAAGTATTTGAAACTAGCACCTCTGATTCTAAACAAGGAAAATGAAGAAATTTTAGCACACTGACTCCTTTGGGTGCCCTTGGGGGTAGAGCTGGCACGAAATGTTCAAAGTATCAAACTGTCAACTCAGGGTTATAATTCCAATCATGTTATCAACATGTAATATTCAAAGTATCATTTGCCGTAATAAATTTTGCCCCCACCCCTTCCCCAGGGGTAAATGTGACCTAAGGGTCATAAAATTCACAATTTTGGTATAGCACCTTAAAACCCTTCCATCTATATATGAAGAGTATTTGATTCTACCATATCTTGGTCTTGAGAAGATTTTGAAATTTCAGTCAATTCAACCCTTTTTGGCCCCACCCATCAGCCCCTGGGGGTCAGTCAGGGCTGATATGTGCATACCATCAAACTGCTATCCAACACTGATAATGCTAACCCACATTGAATTACTTCCAATGGAAATTAAACAAATGTTGGTCCAAAATGTGATTTCCCTATATAAACTGTAGTAAAGTTTACCCCCTCCACAGGGGGAAACGTGAGACCCCAGGGTCAAGAAATTCACAATTTTAAAACCTTAAGACCCTTCCATCTATGAAGAGTATTTGATTTTACCATATCTGGGTCTTGAGAAGATTTTTGAAATTTTTAGTCAATTTTACCCTTTTTGGCCCCACCCCTCAGGCCCCTGGGGGCTGGGGACCAAATCAGCTGCTGTTTTTGTTGCCTTTGGCCATGGAAGGTTTCTGCAAAATTTCATTGAAATTGGTTCAGGGGTTTTGGAGAAGAAGTCGAAAATGTTGATTGTTTACGGACGGACGCCGGACAAAAGGCGATCGCAATAGGTCACTTGAGACTTTGTCTCAGGTGACCTAAAAATTTACAGCCTTTAGAATCACAATTTTTTTTATTTATTTTTTATTCTTACCTGTCTGATGGAAAAAATACCATGCAGCTTGTATTGGACACATGCAAATTATATATTTAGTGTTGCATGTAAAAATGACCATGTGTCCTGTTCTAAAGAAATACTGTTAATAAACAATAACGTACTACTACAGGATTTTTAAAACAATTACTCTACATTGAAATGACATATTATTATGAATATTTCTTGCATTGAAAGTTACCATTTATTTCACCACAGCCTGCTGGTATGAAGGCGGGAACATTTGACCCTTATCCTTCCCATTCCGCCGACCCTTACAAGATCAAAGTGTCACACTCTGTCAATGTTGTCAACAAAACTGGAAAGACCTTTATGCCATCACAGGGACCTAAATCTGTACCTACTAATTCTATAGTCAACCAGAATATACTGAAGTAAGTAGAACTTAATCGTATGGAGATATCCTTTCTTTTTTTTAAGGGAAAATTATATTGACTCTGTCAGAACTTTTTTCGTTCACAAGACCTGTGTTCACGCCTCCTATCATGTCTTTGAAATACCACCCATCAATTGTTAAATTGTACAGTTAATGTGTCTTGAAAGACAAATTATTATTATTATTGACTTGGTAAAAATAGCAAAAAAATGTTGTCATGATTAAGTTACATGAAATCAACTATTAAATATAATATTATGTATGAAGAGACATCGTCCATGCAGGTTAATATTTCATTGGAGTTAAACTTTTACTTTTTTTGATGGTTAGATATTGTTCTGTCTGTTTTTATCAACCGAGTGTTTCTTGTTAGAATGAAGCTTTCGGCGATTTATTATCTTTCCTCCAAATATGTCGGTGTATTGTAACCTGTTTCCCTTTGTTTTACAGAACAATCAATGTACAGAACTACAGATCAATGACATCCATCATTTAAGGAAATTTAACCAGATAAAATAAGAGACCAAAATCTCAACTTAAAGAACTATGGATCACAACTTTAATCACCTTAAAGAAAAGATGAAGGTGACTGCCCAAACATCTACTACCTTGTCAGTTGTGGCAGGATACACATCTCTGAACAGACATTGCAATGTTCTTGAAGAATGTTGTTCTATTATAATGCCTTATGTAATGGGTTAACTGAGCAGGTGTGTATTACTACTTACAGGTTACTGTTTTGAAAACTCTTGTACATAATATACTGTTATACAGAAAAACATTGAATCGTTTTGTACTTACCTTACAACTATATTAGTATTATATATTTAATACATTGTGTTGCTCATTCAAAGTTTATGTCAAATATCTGTTCTTTCATTCCATTTTTTTCCTGTAAAAACACTTTTCTTTTGTATGGAAGCAGAGGGCTGTGATTTCCTAAATATACATTTGATGTTAATGTTATTTTATGTAATTGTGATCCAGATTATACATTATTTCAATACAAATTATTTCAAGAGTATTTTATCTTAACTTTACAAAGAACCATCATTTATTTAATTGTATTTGACCTATGGAATTTTAAGAATCCTGTGGTTTATGATATATTTTAATAGTAGCTTCTCTTGAGTGTCGTGCACCCAATTTGTATAATTATTATTCACACGAGGCCAACTTTTGCCTTTCCCCTGCTCTTACCTTTACACATTAAGCCAAGCTTGTGCCAAGTTTATGGAATGTACAAAAAACCTCAAATATACAACCTAAAAACAATTGAAATCTTTATTTTGAAATAAAGTATGTAATATCAAATGAAATAAAAAATATTGATCACTGAAATTATCAATAACTTTTAATTCTTTATTTTTTAATTCCATATTAATCTGCCAGCATTCCCTATCTTCCAGTGCAGTGTACCTCTGAAAGCCTTATCAGGCTAAAGTAACTCTGTGGTTAACTTTTTCTTCATAATTGTATTATGAGGATGACATTTCCACAAAGATTTATTTTTTGGCTAAAATATCTATGAAGTGTTCTTAAAAAATTCCTACAACAAGACACTGGTTTTCTTTAAAACAACTAGTATCATAAAAATGTGAACAAATTTAAGTTGTCTTTGTCTACTTTTTTGTGTGTTTCCTGCCAGGCAGATGTGACAGACATAGCTGTGGTGGCAGCAGTGGTGTCCACACAAATGTTGTCTATCTGATTACTCTTGAAGGAATGTTTTGATTTTCATTAAACTTTCCACACATACCTAGGTAGTATCGCTTTCACTTCTAAAGTATGATTTTGACCCACATCTGAGCATCAACAAGACACTATAAGACTATATTGCTATAAGACACTAGATTGGTACATGATAAAAATAACTAAACCATTCCAAGCCAAGCATTACAATTTGACTTTTGACTTTAAGGGTTCCGAGCTTTTGGACAGGTATTACAGATTTGATCCCTTATGGCATTGGCCTGAAGTTTAAACACCTGGGAATTCTATGTGACTCGCTGTTCATCAGGCTATAATACATTTATCTATGAAGTTTAACATATTAACATTTGCAAGTTATGGTCCTTGCGAATGTTACATTTATTTGACCTTCTGACCTTGATGGTTCATAATTAGAATTTTACATGACAAATGTCCTTTTTAAGTACATTCATATTTGATGATTTTTAAGAAAATATTCAGCTGTTCAGATATTATGGTCTGGACTAGCTGTCAACAAACATCAGCAGATTACTTTCTTTGCAGCACTGTATGTAGATATTGTTCCCACGTCCACAATCCTCCCGGAGTCAACACACATATTGTCATTAAATAGACAAGACTTGAACTTGCATGTTTTACTTTTATTGTTGATGATATAACATATCTAGCAGCCATTGTTGACTGTACATTTAAAGAACATGAAGACTCATGCATTGTCATGACAACACGATAATGGAGAGAAACGCCAGTCAATATCTGTTTATAAACTTACAGAAATGGAAAGAAATTAAAACTAGTTCACATGTAATAACACAAAATGATTAGCACATGTACATTTCAAAATCTATTTATTTGATTTTGATGAATATTGACAACTTCTTCATCACTGCGACAGGTTTTTTGTATTGCATTGTGTGAATACGTACACAAGTTATCAAAGCTGATGTATGGAATAAAGTATACAATACACAGAAACATACATACAGATTGAAACTCCAGTTTTATACCAGGACTGATGTATACCAGTTGTAATGTACACAGGACCATGCATACAGATATAAGTGTACACAGTTTTAATACCAAAACTGATGTTTGGGTACTATACTACACAAAATCATAAGCCTTTTTTAGATTGCAGTAGTGCGCCCCACACATACCGGTAGGTATTCTAAAGAAACATGTACACCAAGCAAACTTTTAACTGTATACATTGTGTTAATCCTGACTGGTACTAATGGAGACAACTTGCAGTAAACAAGATTGAAGTTTGGGAACTCAAATGAATAGCAGTTATTGTAACAGCATGATGCGAGTCTCCTTTTAGCGTTCACATTTCAATTACCCTTCCTTATAACTCATGATGTTCTGTACTTTAGTATTCCAATGCAGACTGCAGTTATGGAGGTGGTAGGACAGATAGTGGTCAGCACAAACAATGTGGCCAATATACAAGTGTATCAATGTAGTCTACACATGTAGGACCACCAGCTGACAAACCTATATCCACCACAAGCACCAGCATATTATAGTAATCTATACACCTTCATTTTATGCATACAGTAGCACTTCTTTCTCATAGTACTGTAGGGTTGGTGGAGAATATACACAATATTTTTACCTGAAAATGATAGTTGGTTTGTTTTCTTTATATTCAAAAGTTTTCATCATAAAACGCCTGGCTGTATATATACCGTCTCCATAAAACACTTGGCTGTATATATACAGTCTCCATAAAACACTTGGCTGTATATATACAGTCTCCATAAAACTCTTGGCTGTTTATATACAGTCTCCATAAATTCAACTGAGCATTCAGTGATACTTATTCATTTTAGTTTTCAAAATGTATACATTAACTCTGTATCACTAAAGTGAAAAGGGAAATTGTGTATCCACAACAGGTCTGAAAGCTCAGCCACTACAGTAACCATATTAGGTTCCTTCTCGGCTACCACCTACCTGGATTTGTAGTAGGTCCATGGCCGTTGTTATCAATGTTTTTTGTTAACAATCCTACATCACTGCTGTACCCTTGATTTTGGTGGCTTTGAAAAGGATGTCTTGTGAAAGTTTTAGAACAGCTATTCATGATAGGCTGAAGCTAAGAACAAAACTAGCACTGATGTTTTGAAGCTGGTTTATTAGTAGTGTTAATGGAAAGTTTGATTCCTCTTTGGCTGCAATATAACCACAGTGCTAAATGCGACTTAATGCACATAATCAATAGGAACCTAAATTAAAGTTGAAAGTTGAAGTTGAAAAATCAGTCATAAATTCTTTGAAAATCCTGGGGCCATATATCAAAGTATAAATTCTATCATTATTCTGTGGTTATGGTTGGGTCCTAATATTGAAGTTTAAATCTACTTGTAAACTTTCAGTTATACTAAAATGTGACTTGGTATTGAAATATAAATCCTGTCATTCTTCTGCAGTTATACTTGTAAACTTTTAGGTATGGTTGGATCCTAGTATTGAAGTATAAATCCTGTCATTCTTCTGCAGTTATACTAGTTAACTTTTAGGTATGATTGGATCCTAGTATTGAAGTATAAATCGAATCCTATCACTATACTGCAAACATTTGTTAAATTTCAGTTAAACTGGGACTGTGTAATGAATTATAAATCCTAGCACTTAACTGTAGATAACGTTTAGTAATACTTGGGCCTTATTATTGAAGAGATTCTTCTGATCATTCTCTAGATATACTGGTAAACTTTAACAGTTTGTCACCTAGTATTTTGTATAGAGTATATACTGTCGTTGCTCTGCAGATATGTTAACACGGGCCCTGCACAATAATTTAATAAAGGTACTTGAAAACCTTAATGAAGCTTTAAAGAAATAAAAAAAACACATATTGACAGTAATATTAAATGAAAATATTTCAACCTGAAAAATTAACAAAAAATCTGAATATCATTATCTGTCAAGAAATGAAAACAAATTCCAACAAAACCTTAAAATCATTACATTAGTAGCTACATTGCTACTGTTCAATTACACTGTATCTTAAAACAGTTTTCTTCTTTTTACAAATTTATTTTAATCCTAATGAAATAGCCAGAATAAATCATGGTACACATTTGGATTTGATCTTCAAATTCAATCTTCCATTTGTTAAGGACATAACTAACATGAAATATCATCAGGGTGGTTATGATGAAAGTTTTAAACATCACCTAATTTGTTATCTTTGTTAGCATGATATATCTACCTACTATCTACCAAATATCACAAAAGTTTATATGATAATAAGTTCCAGAGTGACAATGCGAATGACTTTAAACTTCTTCTTCAATCTGCATAGATATCGGTTGATATTTTCAATAAGTCATTTGATTTTACTTTAGTCAAACAATTCAAACTGAATCAAAATGAAACCCAACAACTATACTCTCCTATTTCAAACAGTCATACATAATTACATCAACATGCAATCTTGAAACCTGGTACCCAGTAGTTAAACTGTATCATTTCATTACACTACTACAAATGTATATAAAAGGGGACCATCTTTAGTCCCATTAACCTTTTGTTACTGATAAAAAGAGGTCTGATCTACCTGGATAGCCCTGAACAGACTACCTGCATCATTTACCTACATCATGTAATTTGTAAAGCAATAACCATTGAATATGTGCCCAACATGTTACTAATGCATATGGGTTACACAGCGTATGTAATACCATGCCTGTTTATAGAAAACCTATAAAAGTGATAAAAGAAAAGTTTATCACTGTGACCTCTCACTCCCAATTCATATGGAACATCCTGTGCTTGTTAAACCTTTCCCATGCATGTGTTCACACTCTAGAAGCATTTTTCATTGGCCTATCTTCATATGACTAGCTGTTGCAAGGGTGCTAAACCCCAATCAATGGAAATAAAACCATTGATTGCTGATTATGGTGTCATGTTACAATGCTTTGTGATGGTATCCATGATGACATCATCTTTGTAACAGAGATGTAGGTAACATCAAATGTTCACAAACACTGGAAACCTAGATGGTTATTGAATTTACTTAAATGGGTACCTTATCACTAACCATAACCTGCTAGGAAACCTCTATCAAATGTTTAGACTGACCAGCCTAAAACATGAATAGATTTTGTCCTGACCAGTTTTTCCGATTACACAGGTTTCATTGTAAGTGGATGGAGGTCTAGCTTACCCAATAACACCAAACTTCCTCACAAAATCTCATAGTTGTCATAAATATTAGTACAGTGAATACAAGACAAATTGATCTAAGATTAAAGTACCAGCAGACCATGACATTTTGTAGAGAAATAAATGACAAGTAAAATCACACTGGGAAGTCCTTATGGCTGGTATCAAACACTGCTTCTATTAATATGTTACAAGACATTCAAATTCAAATTAATATCTTACAAGATGACATATAACTGCTTTAGTTAACGTTCTTTCACTGCTGATCTACATACATGTTAAATCTCACTACACATATGGAGATCTAAATAGTCACATATTAAATATTGGTACACATTTAGATTTGATCTTCAAATTCAATCTTCCATTTGTTAAGGACATAACTAACATGAAATATCATCAGGGTGGTAATGATGAAAACATAATTAATATTGATGACATTTGACAAGAATGCTGAACTGCTATCTGTTAATACATTTTTAAGGAAAATTCTAAAACTGAGGTATTTAATTAGCACATGTAGGCATTTTTGTGGGGGGGGGTTTCCATTCCCTTTATAAATACAAAACTCCAATTTAAAACGAGAAAGAAAAAGCAATTGAAGAACGATTCCATTAAAAAATCTACCTGAACCCTGGACTTCAAATATATCACTTCTATGAATGGTTGCCTGTTACTTCATTGATTAATTTCATTCTATGGGTAGTACCTCAAAACAAAACATCGAGTCCTGGGATGGGAGAGATGTTTTACAAGAATAGCCTTGATCGACTAGGAGACAAACTATAAAAGAGAAAAAAACAATTGCAAAAAGCAAAAGGTAAGATCTATTGTTCCATAATGAATGTCTTCTCCACCTATCCCCCTATATAAGATGTTGAAATGGCACACTATGCACATAATACTGACAAAGGCCAATATGTTTTCAATCTTTAATTACATAACATTTATTCAAGCATGACTCACTGTCTCACTAACAATTCAAATCTTTTGCGGGAAAAAAACGAATATGCCCTTTCACAATTGTAAGTATGCTTGATTAGAATATACATGTCAGTGAAATTTTCAGAATCTTTACATACTATCTAAAATTTAAAAGTAAAACAACAGACATAAACGATAAAAATGTATTTCTTACAGCCTAAACTGATGCGTGCATCAGTTGTATCACCATGAAGAACTAGTTGAGAGACTTTCTGAGATCTATCAATGGTTGGTGGGTTGGATTGATAATTTTCAGCTTCAGTACAGGCACTGGTACAACAGGAAACCTTGCATCAGTTCTGATGTTTATCTGTGTCACATTTACAGTGTTAGCCACTATCAAATGTTTATAAATTTCAAATTTGGGACATAGCACATGACATCCAACCCAAAATCAAAGTATCATCACAAGGGAACACATTTTTACTGGGAGAGAGGGGTTGGTTTAGCCTGTTATCTAGTATTGCACACCACATCAATGTAATACATATTCAACTGGTTTACTCGTAGCAATCCATTACATGATATTTAGTCACCTGAAGCAGAAGATAGCTTAATCCACATTATCGGTATAAACATAACAAGTATTTAACAAGCTTAGTTTGATTTGCATATTCTTATGTCTTTAACCACAATATTCAAGAGGTCTGCCAATTAAGTCATCAAAATGTGAATTTCAGAATGTGTTGTCAGAAATCAGTACAGTGCTTATTATAGGCTGGTCTATTTGACTAGGACTTACATGTAGTGATGGAGGTATACATGTGCTACAGGGACGAGTATTTCATTTGAATATCAATTTACAATAAAATGGAATGAATTTGTTTCTATTTTATATAAATTATTCTGTCAAAGAAGATATTATATTGGATATCAGTGCTTCATAACAAATCTGTGTTAAATCCCACAAATCAATATGCAACTCTATGTGCAAGTTTGAAGATTTGGGAAATCCATTTAGTAGGATTTGCTGAACATTTCTAACCAGGATGGAGTACACCTAAACATAGGTGTACCAATTGCCTACACACAATGTTCCATGTTAACTCCTCTCTCATCTCACACCAGGTAAGGTCAGGATTGCATTATGTATGTTTCCTAGTTCAGCTAATTGTGAGACAGAATAAAATGGGACAGCTCTTTTCCTTCATCCCTTAGACAATCCTGGAGCCTGCTCTCCCCTGGGCGTTCCCGGGGCCTTCCTCTCTGTGGATGACCAGCACACCACACAAGCTTTGTCAGGGCTTACATTGCATCTTGCTTTCAAGCTTCACTACTATCTCCTGACTGCATTCTTCAATTCTGCTGCAAGTCCACAGATAGCAGTGAAAAAACGATAAAAATGATCAAGAATCCAAACACTGAAATCTAGTTGTGAATCTTGATAGCTTTCTCCAGATAGGCATATCTAGACCTTTTTGGTGTTTTGTTGACATGGTCCAAGCCAAGCCATGGTCTGGCTTGCATGTTTGCACCTATAAGAAAGATAAAGACAAACATAAGAATAGAAGGGAAAGGATATAATCAACCAAAGTAATAGTACTGTCTGACTTCAGTCTTTTGAGATTCAGTTTTATATGGTGATAAAATATAACATTAAGCCTAATTTTACAAAGCATAATAATGATATACAATCTTAAATATTTTAGCATTTAAGGCTGTTTGGAAAATTCTTCCTCTTCCAAGATGTTCTGATCAACACAGCTGATGTTGATGTGTATTGTTATACAGATGATAAGTATCCTGAATTAGAACTTTGATCAAAGAGTGAGTTTATAGCCTTGAAGTAAACTTAACACTCCCCTGTGTTACTAAATATGCCTACCTTGTATAGCGTGAGGTTTGAATACAGTCAGATCTACTCTCATATCCTGGTCATCATCTGATATGTACTCCACTCTTCCCATCACCACCACTGCAAACTTGTACTGAAAAAATAAAAAACATGCAGCTGTTATGTTGGCAGCAAGTGACCATTTTTTCATATCCTAGCTTTGATATTCCAAAATGCAGAATTGTTTACATCATCTATCTTGCAGTGCTTATTGTGAAAAGTAAAACCTGTGTAACTCCAAGTATCAACAGATAGAGCTGAACTTTGGAAGCCTCCAGCAGATGGATACCACATGAAGGTGATTGGGAATTTTTATTGTCAAGTTTCCATGTTTCAACTCTCCTTGTGTGCTGTCATTGTAACTTAGGCTACATTCACATATCCCGGTTGAAATGGTAGGTGTGGGGCAGAAATATTCCACGATAAACGCACGCACTTGGACAGTTGTATAAGCAGAGCTAAAAATGCACCGTTTCGAAGGATAAAAAACAATGTATCAAGAATAGTATGCCCTTCTTTCACACATTAACTGAATAACATAATGTATCTTAACAAGAGGCCCATGGGCCTTAACGGGCACCTGAGTTCTGATACATTTATACAGAGAGTTGATTTTTGTTTTTAAAACATGAACAGAGATATTATTCAAAGTGACAAAAAAACAATTAAACCACCTTATTCAATATCTAGCATACAGATTTAACACTGCAAAGTATTTGAAACTAGCACCTCTGATTCTTAACAAGGAAAATGAAGAAATTTTAGCACACTGACTCCTTTGGGCCCTGCCCTACAGCCCTTGGGAGTAGGGCTGGCTCAAAATTTTCAAAGTATCAAACTGTCAACTCAGGGTTATAGTTCCAATCAAGTTATCAACATGTAATATCCAAAGTATCATTTGCCAATATAAACCATAATAAATTTTGGTTGGTCCAAAAGGTGTTTTTCCTATATAAACTATAGTAAAGTTTACCCCCTCCCCAGGGGGAAACGTGAGACCCAAGGTCATGAAATTCCTAATTTTGGTAATTAAAGCACCTTAGGACCCTTCGATCTATGAAAAGTATTTGATTCTACCATATCTGAGTCTTGAGAAGAAGATTTTTGAAATTTCAGTCAATTCAACCCTTTTTGGCCCCACCCATCAGCCCCTGGGGGCTGGGGACCATATAATTCACAATTTTGGTTGACCTTTGGCCATGGAATGTTTCATTGAAATTGGTTCAGGGTTTTTTGGAGAAGAAGTTTAAAATGTTAATTGTTTATGGACGCACGACGGACAAAAGGCGATTGGAATAGGTCACTTGAGACTTTGTCGTTATAGTTTCGGTCAGGTACATCTAGATCTGGACCCTCAATCTAAACGTGCCAAATTTTCCTGAGGTCAGCCTTGGTTTAGATCTGTGCCTGTCGTTGTCTTTACAGGTTCAACTGGATACACGAATGTACCCCAATACAACAAGAGCTGAACAGCATAGCTCACCTATTGATAAAATAATGTTGCACTGCTTCAATATGGGTAGATATACCTTTAAGCCTCGGCCGTTTATTTATTCAAATGCTCCAGAGTCTAAGTCACATCATAGCCAAACTGATTCAAAAGTATGTTTGGTTGTTAAAATACTAAAAAATAATTTAACACATTTTTTGCATATATATATACCAGGTGAATACCTCAGTTTTAGAGTTGTCAACAATTTTTCTACTGGAAATGATAAAATAGTGTATAGAAAAACTTTTATTAACAACCAATGGGGTGGAACAATATAAACCCATCCAATGTCAAACAGATTTTGTACAACTTCAACCTTTATCTTAGTATTTCCATACCATAAAATCAACTGTAAGTGAAATGTTAAGTGGAAGATTCTCTGCATCTGTAAGTCTGCCTTGTATTGCATCTTCAAGAACTGCAAGCCCTGATAAAACTTTGCACAGCAAGTTGTCAATATATCCAGATTCATCTGCTGACTTCACTTTTATGTTTATGGAGTCAAAATCATAAATGGAATGTTTCAACTAATTTACCTGTTTCAGACCCCTAAAATTACCAAATATGGTCTTTTGTAATGTTTAGCCCCTTTAATACTGTTATCACCTAACTAGCTCCTTTAATACTAATATGATGTACTTATAGTATAATATGCATGCAGTGCTATGCTGAAACAGTGAAAGGAAAACTTGCTCCAATACTTTATTCTGAAGTTGGATATGGAAGTGGACACAATGCCTGATGGGACTCCATCAACAGGTCAATAAAGAAAACCCTAATGAACAAATCATAACATTCCCTTTTGAATGTAGTTACAATGTTTTGTCTATGTACAACCAATACATACCTTATCAATATTCTCTATGTACAACCAATACATCTCTATGTACAACCAATACATACCTTTTCAATATTCTCTATGTACAACCAATGCATACCTTATCAATATTCTCTATGTACAACCAATACATACCTTATCAATATTCTCTATGTACAACCAATACGTACCTTATCAATATTCTCTATGTACAACCAATACACACCTTATCAATATTATCTATGTACAACCAATACA